GTTTTTTGAGTTCTATTCATATCATTTAAAGGGGCAGTATTTCAAATCTATCATCTTGTACATGTGCGGGAGCGGATCACTCTCTCTGTGTGGGACTCCCCGAGGTTTTCTTACTTTTTCACACTGGGTTTTTGAGCTGTTCCTTGCAGATGCAGAAGGGTCTGAGGAACATGTTTGGACATTGGTCATCCGCTCCCAATGGACCAATGGGTGTTGAGTTCTCGTGTGTTTCGCTCTGCCTCCCCCCTCCCTTGTTTGACAGGGGGCGTGGCTTGTGTGTGACTGGGGGCGTGGCTGGTTCATCTACTGCTGAGAGCCATCCCTGTAATTAAAACTCTGGTTCAGTCTCTTCTTCTTCTCTGCCAGATTATTACAATTACAAGTTAGTAAACTCTGTCGGCTCGTGAGTTTTTGTCCTACTTTTTCTTTTGGATTTCTTCCCTTGTGTTTAGGTCCAAACATCCTGCTTGCCAGCCGGCTCCCTGTCTCCACTGCTCGCTTGGTTTTTTTTTTTTTCATACATATTTTTTATAGTGAATTTCATCAGGTCTCTGTCTCTGCTTTGGGATCTAACCAAGCCTCGGCGATCCAAGATGGCGCCCTATTCAAATGAATGGTTGTGCTCAGTGGCGCTTTGTGACGGCATGGGGTGTCACTCCCGTATTCGTCCCGGAAACCGGATTCGTCCGGAAGTTCAGTTTGATCCAATGAGCATACGCAGCAGTAGATTACGTCACGGAATCTGGACGGAAGCGGAAGTAAATATTAAAAACTACCTATTCATGCCTAAACTTAACCAGCCATTCCCATAAAATAACCCCAACCCAGCCTTAACCCTAAACTTAACCATCTTAATCAGACGCCTAAACTTAACCAGTCTCCACTTAAGGACATATTAAACTTTTTGACATGCGCAAACTGAACTTCCGGACGAATCCGGTTTCCGGGACGAATACGGGAGTGACATGGGGGCTGAAAGATTAGCGGAAGTCGCCTAGAACTCGCAAAGATCTATGGGAAACTCGCCTGTATTTGGGCATCGTCTGGTCCTCCCGGTTCTGTGCAGTGGATGATCTCCCATAATGCGTTGGGCCAAACACGCGTGTGTGGGTCTCACACCGGGTCTCACGCACGTGCACAGATGGGCTCGGCCGCGCTCTGACCAATCAGAGCAGTTCATCAGAGCGGGAGTTAGAGCGAGAGCCAGACGAGCAGAGTTTGTGGCACTAAAGTGTGGATTTAAACAAAACCGAAGGATTTAAGAAGAAACAAAGTTCAGGATGACAAGGGACACTAAAATCCCTACAAAATCCGACCTTTATGAAAGCTGTAGGTTCTCTGTCAGCTGAGGTGGAGCTGTTTTAATATGCATTGAGTTCTATGGGGAAAATTTATGGGTAGCCCACGTGAATTTAGTCTGGTCTAGTCTGCAGTACCGCGAGAATCCCCCGAGCACATGAGTTATTCAGCTACAAGCTAGTAATACCCTATCCAGTTATTATAATAGATCCATGGATCCAACACACACCCGTAACACATCTGTTCTGAACAAATCTCATTATTGTGCGACGTCAACAAGAATCTTCATGTATTTACCTCCACCCAGGTTGTCCGTGTGCAACATAAATCAAAAGGTTATGGGAGGATTTGGGCGAAGTTTTCAACAAAACTTGCGCAATGGCTCAATAAACAACTGATTAAAGTTTTTGAGAGGATCCGAGGTACTGTCTGGAAGCACGATAATTCTAAAAGCAATGGAACTGCACGTACAGTGGGGAGCTCTGCCCTCTTTCCTAGTTCATTTATTGGTTAATCTTTCTTCTAAAACTGCTTCTTGATGAGTTCATACCACCGTTTATGCTCCCTGTATGTCCTGTAAACAAGTCACAAATATACAATCCTGAAGTAATACACGGTAAAAACAAAGCCATCCATCTAATCTATACGTTTCCTTGTCTCTTGCAGTTTGGCATTTACAGCCGCTCCCAGACACCGTGTTCATGTTTATTCCCCCGTCTCCACTTTGGGTCATAAACGGCCCCTAAAATCCATCAAATCAACAGACAAACTGCGAGTGCTCAGGGCCCTGCGGTGTCAGATGGGCCCATTAGAGAAACTGCATCTCTGCTGCTGTGTCACTGTAGTAATACACTTAAATGGACAAGGCCAGATCCCAATCCACCTAAAGCAAAGCTGAGCCAGAGACGAACGACTCAACAAGGACAAAACAACAAGGAATGAGCACAAGAATGTGGTGCTTTTCATGTTTTTATGGGAAGAAAATCAGAAGGACAACAATTATGGCAGTCATAGGAACCACTTTTGAAGGATTGCATATTCGCAGTGATAATAAAACTGTTTTTATGCCGATTACAATTATGAGGGAAATCCCAAGAAAAAATATTCTGACTTTTTTTGTGTGTGTGTGTAAAATCCGCACAAATTTGCACGAAAATACTACAGTAATAAAATTCCTCCATAAAATTCAGCAAAAAAATTTTTTGTTCTTGTATTTTAGCCCTAAATCACAACAGCAGTCGTCTTACAAAGTTGTTGGTTTGAGACGGATCAGAGAATCAAACCGTTCAAACACAGAAATGTCATTAACAAAACACACATAGGAGCCATAGGTCTGTACGGAGCGGAATGACCAATGTCCATAAATGTTTATAAATGTCCTTAAATGTGCCGAATCATCACTGTCCTTAGACTCTCCTGCATCTGCAAGGAATTACTCAGTGCAGTGTGGTTGAAGAAAACATGGGGGGCGCATAGTACTGCCGTGATCTTTATTTGGTATTACCAGAAAATTTACAGACAATAAAGATTGCACCATCTATCAAAAATATTCAATTTTGATCACTAGTAAAGAACATGACGCATTTAATCTTTTGAATACTGGTAAAAAAAAAAAAGCCCTGTGAGTCACTATTTGACCCTTTGGGCTGACAGTTGGGTTGGCTGAGTGAGGGTGGTCCTCTCTTTTTCATGTTTCTGTCTGAAAAAGCAGATCTAAAGCTCAGCAAGAGAGATTTGATTAAATACAGTAACACTTTTTGTTGATTTGGTGCCCCAGCTTTAACAATTTTAGAACATACTTTGTCTGTTAAATATCTTCTTTTTTAAAGGGCCAGTCGAACTTAAAATTCCCGACATAATGACAATAATGTTTGAAACCAAATTAAAGAAAGATTTTTTGTATTTATATAATGCATTTCATAATTTTGTCGTAATTTTCTTTCATTCCACACACCTGGCACATCTCTGACCCTCAATATTCATTCACTCACCCGTTATAAGTATTGTATCCCTATGCTACATGGTTTTTAGTGGTAGGGGAAACTGGATCACCCGAAGGAAAACCATAGCCACAGGGAGAACATGCAAACTCCATTCAGCAAGACCCAAGAAAATGATAAAGAAATAATGTATTGTATCCAAAGTTATATTGTATACCCTTTTCAATGACCAATTTCAATGACCTACGAGATACAGGCCAAAATAACTTGTCATTTTCTTTTAGTCATGAGCACAAAATCCAATCAGAAAAAAACAAATCTTTTACCTGACTGACCTCTGTTGGCTAGGGGAAAATACTGTATACAATAGATACCTCCATAAAACTGATTCGCAACTGCTGACAGCTCAAACTAAACAACTCTAAAGGAAAACAAAGACTTGACATGAGCCCTATTTCCACCGGCCCAATTCGGCTCTACTCTTCTTGGCTTTGTACTCTACTCGGCTCAGCTCTACTCGGCTCAGCTCTACTCGGCTCAGCTCTACTCGGCTCAGCTCTACTCGGCTCAGCTCTACTCGGCTCTGTTCTATAGGGTTTGCGTTTCTATTACACTGTCAGTTGAAGTTCCTTGTTAACCGCAACTTCCAGCAGCATTCTGGCCAAACTCTGTCAGTTAGACTACTTTAGTACCAGTTTGGCCTGGATTTTACCAAGGCACTAAAAACGTACCTGGTAACGACTGAACAGGGCAGGTGCAATCTCTACCAATTGGGGTAGGGTCGAGCAGAGGAGAGCAGAGTAGACTAGAGTAGAGCCAAGTAGGGCTGGTGGAAACAGGGCTTTATAATGTGTTTACTGTAAGTGCAATCTGTTATATTGATACAATCCCATGCACTATCTATTATTATTTCCTTTCAATCACCAATCAGGCTCAATGCAATAGAGTGAAAATAATAAAACAAAGAATATAAATATGCAATTGTTTATTTTTATACAGACCAAAAAATATAAGACAAAGATATGAATTATCTCTGATTATTTTTTCTTTGCATTTACATATAAAACTTAAACTAACACTTTATAAAACAAGCTGTGACTGTTACGATGGCTCTATTACTTTGAATTAGTGATGACCACTCATAAATCTCTTCTGTATTTTAGTTATAATAGATCTCAGGAAGGAAACGACAAAAGCCACTGATCTGAATCCTTAAAGCTGAGGTACCTAACATTAGTATTTTCCCATAAATAATACAAATATGTCCTAACAGAACAGAAATGTCTAAATAAGATTTTTGTGAAGAAATCAGACTACATGCTGTCTTTACCTTGATATAAAACTTCTTCTTTTGCAGACTTAAGACTGAATCTTCTTAGTCACTTTTTGGGCTGAGAGCTGATTGGCTGAGTGAAGGTGCTTCTCTCTTTTTCACATTTCTGTTTGAAAAAACTCTAAAGCTGCGACTGAGGCCAAAATACATACACCCTGAACATGTCACATGGACTTAATTACATATTTACACTTTTTTTGTGGTTTGAACGTTAGATACCCCACTTTAATCCCTTTTAGAACATGCTTTGTCGTTTGAAAATCTTCAACTTAGTCAGAATCGTGAAGTAAACATATGTGAGACAGACAGTCACATTTTTCACGAGATACAACACCGGAGTCACGTATCCAAATGCAACTAGAATCCCGATCCGGAGGACCAAGAAGGGGCCGTCCTGAAGAGCGACCCCTGCCCAAGAGTGTAGTGGGTTATTCGGGGTAATAGCCAACCTTAACAGTGACACAAAACTGAAAATATAAACTGGGAACACCCACGCTGAATAGAAGACATCTGGGATCCCTCCTATACGCACCATCTCAACTGTATCCAACCAAAACATGAAGCTATCCACAAATATCTCCGCCCTGGGATCCCTCCTCCAAAGGATCTTCAAAGGGCCAGAATAAGCGCGTGGTCTGGTAGAGTACAGGTAGGGGGCGCTGGGGGCAGTTCTCCGGGGGTAAGTTGGCCGAGTCGGGGTGATGTCTTGGTGTCTGCCAGAGCGGGCGCCATTTCTGATGTCGGGGGCAGTGCGGGTAACCCCGTTGGGAACGGGGTCTTCGGTTTGATTGGGCTTCGATGACATTTGTCCCGATACGCTGGTGATAGACTCCAGGTGCGTGAGAACAGGACTGGATATGATCGTCATGTCAGAGTCCAAATCCCCAGCTGGAGAGGAGAGAAAAACAGTTTAAAGTTCAAATGTATTTGAAGATTAACAGTATTCATACATTCGATCATATTTCAAACCATAAAACTATTGATTCATGCCATACAATCCATAGTTCCCATCTCTCAAAAGTTCCTGGTTTCTACCACTAATATTTTGTCTGCTGGACCAACCATGTGTTATTTATGAAACAAAAACAACATTGAGGTATCCCAGCTCTATGTGACTTAAAGCTGAGGTACTATGATGATGCAAAACACACCTCTCAGGTAAAGAAGTGTTTCAAGGTCTTGGAGAGTCAGAGTCCAGACTTCGACCCAAAAGTAACTGTTGAAAGTGGCTGTTGCCCAGCAACAGCCCCAGATCATCACAGCTGTGGGCAAACCCAGCGCACGTCCACAGGGAAGGTTTGCCCTCTGTCATTCCTACGGTTTTTTCTATACAACGTATTGAGTTTAACTTTTGTTAAACTTTTATTACAGTAATAAAAGTTCAAATTAGTAAAAAGTAATTTCTTTTTCACTTTCTGTCACTCACAGTTGAAAGGTATATATCATGAAAGTGAAGGAGCCCTCTTCCATTGGGAAAACTTTCACAATCGAAAGCTGCAAAATACTATTTTGCCCCCCTGTTTATTTACACCACCATGCACATCATTATTTTACATTACAGATGTATAATTAAACTTAATCCACATTAGGCCATGACAGCAGGACAGATGAGGGATACGAAGGTGGATATTAAACTGAACACTTACTTGGCCCCAAAAGACGGTGTGGTCTGAGTTTCTCCACAATGTCGACAAAAATCCCAGAAAACAGCACCAGAGAGACAGGCAGCTCTGTGAAGTGGTCCAGCCTGAACCCGTTCTTCATTTGCACCTTCAGATCGATCAGAACAAAGGGAAAGTCAATACAGAACTGCATCTGCCACAAAGGCATTAGCAACAACAATGAAATACTTAGTCCTGCTGCAGAAAGGAAACATTCCTGCAAAGACCGAGAGGAGAAGAATGATACATCAGTTTTTCATTGGGTTTGAACAGAATGTTACTGACTAAAATCACGACACGCATAGACACAGATGCCCAGGGGCCAATCTGAGCCATCAGCCCTAGCTCTGAACTCCAGCAACTCACAAACAATGGCCCTCATTTATGAAACTTGCGTACGGCCAAATCCGGGTGTAAATGAGGGATTTGGCAGGACACTTCTGTACGTGGAACTGGATTCCACAAGCTCATGTCCACATGCTCATGCCATCATGTGACCAGTGCGACCAAAGCGAGGTCATGTGACCACGTGACCAGCCCTCCTTCACCTGCTCCTCTCCCTCCTTGGCCTGCTCCTCTCCCTCCTTGGCCTGCTCCTCTCCCTCCTTCACCTGCTCCTCTCCCTCCTTGGCCTGCTCCTCTCCCTCCTTCACCTGCTCCTCTCCCTCCTTCACCTGCTCCTCTCCCTCCTTGGCCTGCTCCTCTCCCTCCTTCACCTGCTCCTCTCCCTCCTTCACCTCTCTGCTCCTCTCCTTCTCCCTGCTGTCCTCTCCTCCTGGCCTGCTCCTCTCCTCCTTCACCTGCTCCTCTCCCTCCTTGGCCTGCTCCTCTCCCTCCTTCACCTGCTCCTCTCCCTCCTCCTGCTCCTCTCCTCCTTCACCTGCTCCTCTCCCTCCTTGGCCTGCTCCTCTCCCTCCTTCACCTGCTCCTCTCCCTCCTTCACCTGCTCTCTCCCTCCTTGGCCTGCTCCTCTCCCTCCTTCACCTGCTCCTCTCCCTCCTTGGCCTGCTCCTCTCCCTCCTTCACCTGCTCCTCTCCTCCTTCACCTGCTCCTCTCCCTCCTTGCCTGCTCCTCTCCCTCCTTGGCCTGCTCCTCTCCCCTCCTTGGCCTGCTCCTCTCCCTCCTTGGCCTGCTCCTCTCCCTCCTTCACCTGCTCCTCTCCCTCCTTGGCCTGCTCCTCTCCCTCCTTGGCCTGCTCCTCTCCCTCCTTGGCCTGCTCCTCTCCCTCCTTGGCCTGCTCCTCTCCCTCCTTGGCCTGCTCCTCTCCCTCCTTGGCCTGCTCCTCTCCCTCCTCTGACACAAACTCCTCTTCTTCTGCCTTGATCATCCATTTTCGTTTGGAACCTGGCAAGGCAAGGCAAGTTTATTTGTATAGCACAATTCATACACAAGGTAATTCAAAGTGCTGAACAAAACAAGAAAGCATTAAAATCATAAATAATCACAGAACATTAAAAAGAAAGATAAAAATATAAAATCCCTCAGTTGTATGCACAGCTAAACAGAACTGTCTTTAACCTGGTTTTAAACATTGTCAGAGAGGAGGCCTGTCTGCACTGACTTTTAGCAAATGAAAAATGTGTTTAGAGTTTTGAGAAAAAGGGCATGTGTTTTGTGAACAGGAGAATTGTGTTTATGGTTGTGAGAAGTGGGGGAAGTTTTAATAAATGTGTTTAGGCAATTGGTTTAGAGTACTGGGTTTTGTGTTGTAGCAATAGAGAAAAACTGTATTAACAGCCGCAGTTGCGTACGCTCGAATCTGAGCGGATCTCACACGTTCATAAATCCCATTTCGGATTTTTCGTATTTGGAATCTACACCAAAAAAATACAGTTTTCTGCGCAAGTTTCATAAATGAGGCCCAATGTGTGTAAAGTGTCTTGCCTAAGAACAAAGCCCCAGCTGCTTCACTGTGCTGTTTCCAGAGGTCTCCCATCACAGTACTAACCAAGCCATGCCTTGCTTAGTAGCTGAGATCAGACAGAATCAGTTTTTGTAAATACCAGTATTGCCATAAACGTACATTAATGATACATGTGATGTGGATATGAAAATGTAGCCCCAACAGCTTCAAAACAAAATAAAAAGGAAGCATTTTGAGTTTATAGAGTAGGAATTTTAAATAACTAAATGACCAGAGCCTTTTGGACAAAATGAAACAAAGAGTGACAGGTGCGATTACATAATAGTCAGGTGTGAGTTAATGAGAAACCTAATGCGAGTTACTCGTTATCCCGGTCTCGTGACACGTTCTTCACCCAACCATAAACAAAGATCAAACCTAAAAATGTAAGACTTTTCAAACCCATTACTCTTCACACGCTCTGCCAATCTCAACATTTGAGGATGGCCCCTTCAAATGTTTATCTTTAAGGTGGTACCTCTGCGCTGGCGATGAGAATCCCAAAACACGGAGCCGTGGACAGGACCAGGAAAAGCAGGACTGTGGGTCTCCTGATGAAAACAAAGACAGGATTTGGTTTTGAAATGTACTCAATGAAGAACGAAACAATAATGCATTCTCAGTCACCAGACGGCTTCAGCTGCTTTCACGCAGACGATGTGTGCGGCATTTTGTTTCATTAAGTGTGTTAACTTAAAAGAAAGGGACAATTTAATGTTTTTATAAGGATTAATATTAGCTATAACATTTGTGGAACAGAAATAGCATGTATTATTATGAAAATATGGACAAGACTAACCTTTTCTCCAAATAGAACACTTAGTAAGTAATTATAATGTTGACATGGGTTAATCTTTAACTGAAAACCTTCCTGGACTAGACAGAGTATTTACCTGTAGTCAATAACAAAACTCTGTCTCAATACTTTGTAATATACTTTTTTGTTGGCACTAACAAAGGTCAAAGAAAATGTAAAAATCAATTCTTAAAAAATTTGATTGGATTTTTCCCACATATTTTGTTTCCCAGTCAAAAATAGACTCCAAACTGCAAAAAATTATCACATACGAGGTAATAAATGCTTGAATCAAGTGGGTTTAAAAAAAAAACAAAGAAATCTTAATTTGAGTACAACCCGTCTTAAAACAAGATTTGCCAATAGGACGAAGCCATTTAGTCTTATTTCAAGAACTGTTGCTTTATTTTCTCATTCCAAAGGAGACAATTCTTTTATATTTTTAGAGCAAAATAATCTAGTTTTAAAAATATACAAGAAATGTCTCTCGGAATGAGAAAATAAAGCAAAATGTCTTAATATGCTCAAATTATGATACATTTTTGCAGTGTATAGGTGAGACAGAGTGGCAGTGTTCACATAGTTACTCTGCTCATGTTGTTTCCTACCATTGTGTGATCTCCACAGTGACGCTTCTCTTCAGCTCCAAGTACTTGAGCGGCGCCCACACTAGCAGGGTCACTGTGGTCACATAAGCCATGGACACGGAGACGATGAGCCAGTACGTGGTCCAGTCCCGGTTGGCAATGTCCCGGAGCAGACTGGCAAACCTCTCAAACACCACGAACACCGGGGCAACGAGGGCCGTGAACTCCAGGACTTCATAAAGGATCAGTTTGACAGTTTTTCTGGATGGCATAGTGTCGAGGTGCTAAACGCTCTCCTCAAGCATGTCTCCAAAAGGCGTTGGACTCTGGACCGTCCGAGTGCTTACTGTGCACACTGAGCAGTATATGCTTTTAATGTTCAAGAGTTTACGAGGCTACAAAAGTTCACTCCCATCTCATAAACTCTCAGAGACACCAGCGGAACTAGTTAAAATATGTGGAACCTTTTTCTAACAGGTTTTAGGCAACTATGGAGTGGATGGACCAACAAAGTGGAACATCTTATTTAAGTTGGATCCTTTAGGCGACAAAATGTAGAACCTTGAAACTGACTACTAACTACTTAAATCAATAGCAGAAACAAATCCAAGAAAAAACTCTACTTGATTAAGAGATCCTTTATTCGTCCCACAGTGGGGAAATTGTAGTGTTGCATCACAAGTTTTAACAGTAAGGAGGATCACACAGCTCAAGAAAAATGTATTAATAACTATACCAAAATAAAATAACAAATTTCTAACTCTCGCATAAAAACAAGAAGTATAAAATCTATATAATAAGGAAAGTCTTACATTTCCAACTTTAGCATGATGAAGAAGCAAGATGTAAGTACAAAAACCCCTGACTTTAGAATAATAAGAAGTATAAAGTACTGTATTTAGGAGCTGAAGCATTCCTACTGTGACACCGATCGGTTAACTAGATTATTATGCCTTATTGAGAAGAGATTATGCACATTGTTGGTTCATGGGTTAGCATCGGAAAGAATATCCTAACTCTCTAGACCACCACCAGAGGGAGCGTGAGGAAATGGGTGGAGTCTGGTGTGCTCCTACTTAGTTCAAATTTAAACCCACGGCCACACCAGCCCTTTCTGAAACCAGTTTGAGACCCCTGCTCTTACCCCTTACCCGACTCTAACCCCATGACACATTTATCATGGGTGCTCATACTCTTTTTGAATCAAACGTTTTTACCGCACAAGGCCACTTCTACGTATTTTCTTTAACATTTCCGGAAATGTATGGACCAATGGCTCCATGTGTTTTTGTCACATGGAGCCATTGACATGTTTGAACCGTTGGATTCTCTGATCTGTGTCGGCGAATTCCATGGTTTTGTTAAGTCCTCCGAGGCTGTACAACGAGAATGTATAAGAACTGCTGAGTCTGTACAAGTGTCATTGATAATAATTAACTAGTAACTTTTTCATTAGTCACTTTACCGGTTATGTTACTGCATTATTACAAATCCATCTCATACTTTCCGTAGTATGAGACTATTCCGTAGTCACTTTGTGTTGTTAGTGTTGCTGAATTTTTACATATCCATCCATCTTATACCTCTGTCATTAACTAGTCACTTTTACCTGTTGATATTATTACCAATGTTTATTCTGCTCATATTCTCCGCTGCTTAAGAACAATATACACATCTGTAAATACTCCTGAAACAAGTGCAATTATAGCTCCAGAGTTTATTTTATTTTAATCTTGATCTTATTTTTAATTATGTTGTCTATTGTCTTATTAAATAATACTCTTTGATGTGTGCAATCTGAGCGCTCTTATTTCCTTCTTTCTCTGCTGTAATGTGCGCAACGATGACACTGAAATTTCTCCACTGTGAGACGAATAAAGGAATATCTTATTACTACTGTTGTGATTTAGGGCTATACAAGAATACATTTAAATGATTTCAATGTTTTGTTTTTTCCTTGATAAGGATAAAACATTACTTTCTATCTATATCCCAGCGTTTCATTGTATCAGTTTCATGATCCCACGTGGACTTTATGAATACAAAAGCAAAAAGTGTCCACACCAGTTTTTCTTTACGTTTGGCCTGTTTTATTGTCAATACCAATGAATGAGTATGGTTAAAAGAATACAGCGTTGGGGCACAACATGTGTAAAGTGATGTTCCTTTTCCACATTAGGCCCAGTGCATCTGTGTACTTACTGCCACAAAATGTTACACGTTAAAAAATGTGTGAAAGAGACTGGCTCCGAGTCCAAACAATGGTCCCACAAAACCTGAAAGTCAAACACATCTCACCCCCGACAGCTCATTTAGACACTTGTGAGATTCAAAAAAGGGCAGTGAACAAAAAAACTAAAAATCACGTCAATAATAAATCATCAATAACAGAGACAACAATGCAATTCAGTCATTCTTTTTTCAAGTTTTAATATCGTTTGTGAATAATTAAAAGTGCACTATGACTGTTTCTGAAGGAAAGTCTGTCTCTACTCGTGGTATTGTTTTAACTGTAATAAAGTTCCTTAGTATAGCATTAAAGTAGGGCTGCACAGTTAATCGAGGATTGCAAAATCTGTAATTATGCAAAAAATAATGATAATCTAAAATTGAGTTAAAGGTTAAAAAAATTAAAGTTAAAGGTGATGTCTGCAGTCTAAATTGTTTTCATTTTTTCAAAAGAATTACCATTTCTGACCATTGGACACTGGAAAAATGTTATGCACAGTAAGTATTAATCAAAGTTGTCCTCTTGGTTCGAAAAGGTACATTTTGTCGTGATTTAAGCCTCAAGGACTTTAATCTATTTTGTCCAATCAGGAAGAAGCGAAGGAGATGATGGGCGGGTCTAACCAGAGCTCGTCTATTCGCAGTTTGAAAAGTAACTGATCATTGCTTTGAGGGGAACTTCTGGATGTTTGTGTAATTTGACATAAATATTTGTCAATGAAAGATTTTTTTTTTTTTTTTCCAGTGTGAAAAGTGCTTATCTTGCATGAAAACGTACATTGCATTATTAAAGTTAGACTTTTCACACAATGAAGAGTGTGAAACCTTTTGAAGACGGGCACTGATTAGATCTGCCCATGTTCACTCCCACAGGTATTGAAAGTAACTTATTGTACATAATATTACAGCGCCCCATTGTCAGAAATTACCATTATGTTAAAACATATTTAGATTTATTGTTGCTGACGTCACCTTTAATTCAGAATTGCAGTTAGATATTTGCCAAAGTTGTCGCCCTACACCAAAGCTGTTCGTCTGAATGGAGACAGCCAAGGTAACGTTTGTTTTCTCTGACATCTGTAAGTGAATGTGTGTAATCTGAACCCATTTAATGCAACACTGAGGGATAATTTTCACTTCAAAAATGATAATCTTAAATTATGAGCATATTTGATACATTGTGTCGCTGTGTCACCGATCTACTGAAATACATTGACTTTCCATGTATATATTTGCAATGTTTTGACCAGTTGTTAAAATGGGGGGAGGGGACAGCATTATAATCTAATAATAATAATAATAATAATAATAATGATACTGAGAACAAACATGAAAAAGTCAAGTTTTCGTTCTTATCCTTTTTTCACTGTGCATTTGTACAATATTATGTATACAACATAGAGTTGAACTTATTTCAATCCCATCATTAACTTGCGGACAACTCGAGAAGCAGCATTTCCAAAACAGGAGAAAGAGTTTGTTTTTTTACATTTTGATCTTAAAGCTTCGACACTGTAACTGACCCAGAGAAGTTGGACTGTAAAATTTCGAGGGAGTTATTCACATTTGACAATATGGTACAACACAGACATAACCCAAGTCATTTAAATATACAACTGAATAATTCATCAGACGCTTGCTCTTTGAATACATACATCCTGCGATACTTCTCCTTTTAAAAATAGCATAACAATCAAATCCATAAATTAAAATGCACTACGAAAAATAACACAATGTCCAATACTTGGGGTTCAGCCAGTTTTTTCCGCTCCTCTGACGCAGGCGTGAGCAAGCAAGTCCAATAGCTCAATTCACAAAAAGTATTTTACATTTTTCTATATGAATATTATTGCGATAGAGCGGAAATCCTTTATGTTACTGGCCAGATACGCAGCACTTCCACATGAGGAGTTAAAACAAGGCAAAGAGCTATTGAACGACCAGAGGAGCAGCTGTATCACTACGAAAATAATAGTAGAACACTAATATTAGAAGAGCAAATGTAGCAATAATCGCCGCAAATCTGTCGGACTGAAACGTTCTACATATTCCATAGGTTTGATTCCAACCTGAAGCAATCGTTAAGCACCAGGGAATTATTAGGAGTGGGCATTTATAACAATTAAAATAGATATTATTTTAGAGGATCTTGAGAACACATGTCGCTATATATTGTAAAAATGAAGCTGGCATGTGTTAATATTTATAATTAAAGTGTATTATTGTCTTATCTAAATTTTAACCATAGACCAGAGGTGTCCAAACTGGTCCAGAAAGGGCCGCTGTGGCTGCAGGGTTTCTATCAGACCCAGCAGCAGCGCAGACTCCGCCCGTTTCCTCAAGTGAGTTCAGTCTTAACCTGAAGATTTGATGAAATGGGTGGAGTCTGCTCTGCTCCTGCTGGGTCTGATAGAAAACCTGCAGCCACAGCAGCCCTTTCTGGACCGGTTTGGACACCTCTGCCACAGAGCAAAGGCGAGGAATGGACTGACCAAGAGCTGACGTCACCCATCGTTTACCATTAGCGCTAACTCGAACAGGATATTTGAGCGGAAATGTGCGGCCAAATGTTGCTATGGCCAAGATACTGCGACGAACAGCTCCTGATTGGTCAGTTGTGAAGGCAAAGACAATATCACAAGATAAAACACCAGTGTCCAGGGCTAAACCATGGATTTTTAAAGCCGAAAATAAAGGGAAAATGAGACACAAAAAAGGATACTGAGCTCGGAGTTTACTTCTCAAATTCGATTGGAGCTAGAGCGAATTGAAGCAAAAAATTTGTCCATAAGAATTTCCCTAAAGGGCTTCATTGAGCTAGCGAGTTAGCGTCGTCAATCTATCATACAATCTAAGGTCTATGCCATAAAATAAAATGATCATACATACAGTTGTGGCTATAAGTTCACATTCCAGGGAGAAGTGGATGTTTTGATCGTTAAAGATTATGATTAAGAATAAAGAAAACATGAATATATAAGTCATGATTAGTGGTAGATTAAAGCCATGTATATCAGCAGAATAGTGACCTTAACTGCCATTCAATCATCAGTTTTTAGATCCCAAAATCCTCAAAGTATTAAGAGTAAATAGCTTAATAAACATAGCTTCATCCAATAACCACCATCTATGAAAAATAGGTTCAAAAACATACATTAATCTGGCGGATGTAAACTCAAGACCACAACAAGTATTGCCATATTCACCATTTTTCAAGATATCGCCCACCCCTAATAATTCTAATATTTAAGATTAGTTTGAGTAACTTTATTGTATAATTTGTTACGTAACAATGTCCAGTTAGTTCCAGGATTATGTGAATTTTAGTTTCAAAAGTATTGTATCACTGTATCATCCTAAACCTCTGATAATACTCGTTTCATACAAAGGACAAAAGCACTTGCATCCTTTTCAGTCGCTAATCTAAAATAATCTACCTTTAAGGCTGGGAATCAAACACGGTTGATTTCTGCTCACGTACAAGTCATATTTACAAAAAAGGTGTTGTGCATGCTGCTTCTTGATAGTTTTCCCTCCAAAAAAACAAAAAAAAGTGGCGTCAGTTTCAGTACTTCTAAAAGTGAACAACATATACAGAGAAGTCATCCGTTTCTTTCCAGAATCAGTTCTTTTTTTGTGTGTGTTAAGCCTTTGAGATCCATGGAAGCAAGAAGACTGCCCCCTGGTGGCTGTTAGTGTATGAGCAGTTTTTACACACCATGGAAGATGCATTTTCCCCATAGTGTGTCTAATTGTAGTGTTTATGCATCCAGTGTTGGACAGGACTGATCAAAAAGAGGCCGCGAAACAGAAAAAAACGTCATTGTGGCCTAAAAGTGCAGCAGTAGAAGAGTTGAATACTTCAAAATAGCAACTTTCTCGTGGATCGACAAACACGTTTCTACATGGGTGGATTTTAAACAGCTTTAAAAATTCTAGTTACTCCAGTTGGATTGATATTAAAAAAAGATAGGGTACCCAACTTTCAAACTAGAAAAAATATTGAACTTTGTAATCAAATCTGAACAGTTCTCTCTCAAAACGTCAACTTTTCCGCATTTTTTTTACATGCATCTGTTTTTAGGTGTCATCTTCACATCCGCTTTTCACACAGAAAAGGGAAACATCAAGGACCAGTTTTACTAATCAGCCAATCAGCTCAGCCCAAAGCTTCAAATCTAGACTCATAGGGCTCGTTCTTAAGTAGACAAAATATTAAATGCTTTGTAATAAGGTGAAGGCAGCGTTTTGTGGTCTGATTTGTTCACAATATTTTACTTCTACCAGACTCTTTTCATTGAGACAAACACCATGTAATATTTAGGAAACAAAAGATGGGTACCCAAGCTTTAATAATCACCGAGTAGAGACCAGTCACACCATCACTAGACCGGGACAATTTAGACCAATCCCACTTGTTTCAGGCAATCTGAGAAAGATCCAATTCAAACAGTGAGAAAGAGAGAGATGGACGTCGCCTGTCTGAGATTTAAATCCTCAGGTAACTTTTTAACCTAAAACAACCTCCTCCATACGAAGTGAAACAAAAGCCCCAGCAAACCTCTTTTTGACCAGGCCTGGAGTGTGTAGAGTGTGAACAAACAAAAAGCATAGACCTATAGCAAGGCTTTCTCCATGTACGGGGCTTGTGCTGGATCTGAAGGTGCTATGCTCTGACCAGAGGGGGCGCTGTAGTGGGGAGTTTGTGAGTGAGGGTTGGGGCCTGGAGCTGGTCCCAGGGCAGTGGCTTGGGTCTGGTACGACTGGACGTCAGAGGGGGGCATGCTGCCGGGGGGAGCCGAGTAGACCGGAGGCTGTCCCATGTACATGTGAACATCGCTGGAAGAGAGAGGATCATAATTCGAATAAAAAAGTAGGAACTGGTCGGGGGCCGAAAGAACAGCAGGGATTTTCTTTTCTTATAATTGCATTTACGTTATGATGGTATTTTGACATTACTTTTATGTGATTTTTCCTGAAAACCAAAACTGGACTAAATATTTAAGTTAGACACATTGTTTTATATTCAACTTCTAATAATGTGTTGGGTTAACATTTTAGAATCAATAACATTTGTATAACATACCTTGGTAGTGCATTACCAACAAATATGCAAGTTGTTAAGAATAATAATTGCGGGCCAAGCTTGACATGCTGTTTTTAGAGGAAACACAGAATGTATCCTAGTTTGGTTCAGTTCAGCTCACTATAGTGTCAGGACTTAAGTGAGTTCTAAACAGCCAATTCTAACTGGTGTACCTGAATGTTGTTGATCACTTGGCAATGTTGTTTTTGTATTTAGAGCCAATTCTAACTATCAAAATGTTGGACCAGGTCAGAGCCACATTCGTACTCTGTCAACATGAATGCAAACTTGAAATATTTCATTCACTGGGCTTACACCAGGCACTGACCCGGAGAAAAATACACTGCAGGAGTCACGGCTTTAGGAACACAATACTTCCTAGGGCCACGGCACTGGTACCTATGATCAATTACTGAAGTGAACATTTAAAAATAAAAATAAAATGGTGAGGTCTAAACAACAAACATTTTCCCATCTGACCCAAAATGATATTGAAATATTCCATGAGCATGAGTCTCATTAATAACAACAAAAGAACAACATTGGAATGTACCTAGGGGCTGGTTGACCAGGAATCTGAGCTCCGGCTGGGAGTTGCTCCATAGGAACAGTGTAACCCTGGACTGCGGGACCGCTCATGGCATAAGACCCTGAGGCTGGGGGGCCGGGGTACGCCTGAGCAGAAGGAAACGGTTGAGATTCAATTAGAAACTATTCAGAAGGCTGAAAAGCAGAAAGTAGTAGGCCAGCAAAACAGTACAATTACAGCTTTAAACTATATATACTTTATATACGCAAAAGACACAGATGCAGATTTATTATTTTATTTTTCTCATTCTATTTACACTTTTACAACTTCTTTGCATCGAGAGCCAAAGCAATTTCTTAGTTAGTGACTTCCTGTTACTCACAATGGCAAAATATCATATCGTATCAATCTTGTTCCTACTAATTTTCATATCTGTGTTATGGTAAACAGCCATGTAAAAAAATCCAGCCCTGTTATTTTAAACGCTGCCTTTGGAATGTCATAAAGAGCTCGCTGCAATAAGTATATCTTTGTGACCTCACCTGTTGTGGGGGGTTGCCCGGCTGCTGCATGTAATACTGTTGGCTCTGCAGCTTGGCGTACATGGCATAAACTGGATCTTCGTTCATTAACTTGGCGTACAAAGACAGACCCTCCATCACCTTTACATTAAGCTCCGACAACTCAGAGTGTTTCCTGTCGACATTGGACGACAGTGTAATGCATTAGGACGCTCCCCATAGTGTCCAACGGAGAAGTAACACAACAAACACAGCAAGGTTATTACCGGTCCGTATCCTCTAACTTCTGGTCAATCATCGGCCCCATTTGGTTACAAGCACCTGGAAAAGCAGAAAACATTCAAATCATACATTATCTATTTTTTGTTGCTTTTCTGTTTTTTTTATTTTTTTTTTTTATATATTTCCTTTTTACTTTATATATATTATCTATTTTTGTTTATTTTGTCCTTTTTGCTTACTTTTTGTTCAAATAACTGCTTGTTGTTTATTGATTAATGTATGACTGGAAAGAAAAACTAATGAAATATATTTTACAAATCTAGTACTCTGGGCGGTGCAAGAAATTCAACAATCACAACATCGCAACCTCAAATAAAAAAATAAAAAAATAAAATTAATACATATTTTTCTATAAATTAGTTTGATGTTTTTGCCTAAATTCTTTTTACCTTCTAACTGTAGGAGTTCTACGCTGTCTGATTGGTTGTCGGTGGGATCTGCACTTTGGATCATCTGCAGAAGCTGGTCCATTTTATCCTAAAGCAACAAAAAAAAGGATTGTATTTGACGCTAATTTCCACTAATTTTACCAGTTAAGTTATAAAAAATAGATAGTTCTGGACTTACCTCGTCAATGTACACAGGCTCTTGTTCTGGCTCTATAGTCTCCACCTGGACTTCTTCATTGAACTGGACTGACTTCTTCTCTGTCTTTACTAAATAGTGATAAAATGACATTAATATGAATCATCTACACACCAAAATGAAAAGGAAAAGAAGAATGTGATGCATAATTGTTCCATTCTATAATCAGCCATTTACAGCTCAACCTATAACAGCTCATCTGATCATTTTAGGATGGTTAAAAGTGATTGGATAATTCAAGAAGTAATCTGCTTGCTGTCTTGAGTTGCTGTTATATATATATATATATATAAAAAAGCTGGGCTACCTAAATCAGAACACAGAAATCGACATTTGGTTCTATCACTAGTTTTTACATGCACATACGTTAGACCTCCGTCACATCTTCAGATAAGCCTTTTCAGACAGGGAATTGAAAAAGAGAGAACCACCCTGACTCAGCCAATCAGCTCTCAGCACAAAGCGTCAAATAGTGACTCTTCAAGACTCTTTGTATGTATTATTTATGAAACAAAAAGTTAAGTACCCCAGCTTTAACAGTAACATTGTAACAAATAATTTTTTTCAACATTTCATTGTCCTACAGCCTGAGTCCTGGATCTACAGCCTGTCTGTTCGTGGGAGCGGGTCTTTCTCCCAATGTGGGTATTCCTGAGGTTTCTCATTGTCTCCCGCTGAGTTGTTCCTTGCCAACGCAGGAAGGATTTATTTCAAGTTTTTTTTTTTTAAGTTGTCGCCCTCGTTTCCAATGGACCAATGGCTCCTATATTGTTTTCTATTATCGTATTTGTGTTGGATCAGTTTGATTTTCAGATCTGTTGAATATTGCTGTTGTGATTGAGGGCTATAGAAAATCATCTGGAATGAATTGAAGTCATAGAGCAACACGAAGAACATATTCATCCGTTGTACTCACTCATCTCGGGCTCGGCCGTCAGATCAGCCGTTACAAAGTTTGATGGAAACAGCCCTACTCCCTGATACGTTTCCCCTTTCCACCAGTTTGGATCACTGAAACCAAAAACGAACAAATTAAAATAAATAAATCCATGTTGGCGAGTGAGAGTTGTGTTTTGAGAACTGTATTTAAGTGTATTACAGATGTATACATACCATATATATGTATATTTACTTTGTTCAGCTAAAAATAGAGGTTGTAGTTTATGTTTTGTTGTGCAATTCTTCATACTCGCTTATCTAGTACTGTTTGCTGCTCATTCCTACTGTTCCGTAACATATGGTGCAACACTGAAATGTCCCGACTGTGGGACATGCAAAAGACCTCCAGATGTTAATCTACCTGTCGTCTAGAATAGTGATGATTTCTCCGGACTTGAACGTGAGCTCGTTGTCCTCGGCGGCCTCAAAGTCGTAGATGGCGCGGACCTTTCTCCCGTCAGATTTGTTTGAGAGGAGCGAGGTGCTGGGGTACAGAGTGGACAGGGAGCTCTGAGGCTGATGACGCTGCTCCTTCAGGGACAGTTCGATAGCTACAAACAAAAACAATAACACTCAACTTTTGAAGTGGTGCACGTTTGAAAAGTTGTAGATGTAGCCTGTTTAAGCACACTGGGTTGCTTCTGATTGAATGCCATCCATCCTTCCATTTTCTACCCTTTAATCTGGGGGGTGGCAGTCAGAGATGCCACCCAAGTCTCATAGCACCAGCCCCTCACTGACCCTCTGCAGGTGGTGAGTCCACAGGAGGACGGCTGCTCTCTGAGTGTGAGCATAGCCTTGATCTTTCAGTGGGGGCTTTGGGCAAAGTGGGGTTAAGTGTCTTGCCCAAGGACACAACGACAGCAGACATCAGTGGGAGTCGGTGGAGAAGGTGCAGAGGTGGGAATTGAACCCACGACCTTCTGGGCTTAAGGCCAACGCTCTACCAACTGAGCTACTGTCGCCCCTGATTGAATGGTGCTTTATAAACACATTTGCCTTTCCGACCTAATTTTCTGTCATTTTCCTGACCTTTCTTCCCTTTCAAAACCTGCATAACACAATTATTTACATAACAAAAGAACTTTAAACACATATTTAAAATTTACACCTTTAAAAATCACTAGTTTTGATAACTTAAAAACAGGTTTGAAGTGATTAACCATGCTTCTAAGTGAATTCATTAATTGCAGTTAGCCACGCTTCTAAATTCAGATAACCTTAAGTTTTACACGTTTTGTTCCATGTAATATTCTCTGTCATGATGTAACATACACAATCAGATGTTACAGTAGATGTTACAGTTACAAGGTAAACATGTAGGTAAAGGGCAAGGTAAAATTCTGTAGTAGAATAGTAGAATTTTACCTTGTGACTCACGTACATAAGTCACAAGCTTGTAGTTTTGTGTACTCCCATAGCAATACCTCTACTTTCATGGTTGATTTAAGTCTACTAGAATAGGTACAAGTTACTACGCAATACTAGGACTTTTCTATGACAAAATCCTTGCACAATTTGAAAACATGCACAAAGAAAAACACATCAGCTGTGGTACCTTTGGCCAGGTCTTCCTCCTCTTTTTTGGTTGTTGCGGTGGCAGGATCTTTTGCCACTAAGGCGGGACTTGCTTTCGCTTGTTCTGCAGCCTATGGAAACATTGAAGCTTGTAAATAAGTTGTTGGTGTTAAACACCCAGTCATAGATTTAACCATTTTGGCCATATTGTGGAGATCAAGAATGATAATGCAAACGCATATTTTCCACATATCCGTGTATTATTTTATAAATCAAATAAATGTGTATTCCATCTTCAAATGAAAGCCTTATTGAGCCGATCTGTGGAGATCTCAAATGTGCAGTTCATGCGAGGCGGCTCACAAATGTGGAAGAACAGAACTTTTTGCCACAAAGAATGCATTTGTTGTTATTGTATTTCTTGTGTTCAAACTGATTGATTCTCTGATCTGTTGTTGAGTAATCAACAACTTAGTGAAGTCCTCCGAGACGACTGCTGTTGTGATTAAGGGGTATACACAAATACATTGAATAGAATAGAATGAAGAACCTCATACACAACAACCCCAAACGCACTGGGGGATGGAAACTTCTAATCAGAGTCTGAAGAGTAGTATTTGCTTTATCATTTCCGTAATAACCTCTGTAATGAGGCCAAAACAACGGCAACATTGCTGCCTGGGTGTGCAACCTGGCAAATGTTCACTGACCTGAGAGCCCACAGCGGGGAAAGTGACGCCTTGCTCTCGAAGGTTTTTAATCATGGCCGAGATCAGACTCAACTGTGGGTCACTGCGGAAATCTTCTGCCCATTCCACCATGAGAGCCTTCAGCTTCTCACACACTTTAGGATGACCCTGAAGATTTGAGATCACATATTTATACTACTGTTTGGTCTCATAGTAATTACATGAATGACATAAGAATTTATACCTTGTTCAAAACACTACTGACTTCACTGGCAAACTCCCGAGAGCACACCTCCAAATGAAAGATCTTACCGCAGTTCGAGACACAAGCACCGAGAAGCTGAGGGAAGAGAAATGTTTGTTATTTTTTAAATCAGCAAATGTGTAGATAAAAAGTGCCTACAGTGAGAGCTTGCATGGCCACATGGGGATCCTTATGGTTGACCCGTCTCATAACAGAGCGAAGGCATTCCTTTGGCCTAAAAAACACGTGTTTTTGTCATGTTACCTGCGTCAAATCTTATCTATACAGTACACTCTTAGTTACATTGTACTATATAGTTGACTAACCCAGTGCGTGACTGTCCAATCTTATCACAAATATCGAGGATGAGGCCCCAGTCCTCAGCCGTGTTCATCTCACTTGTTGCCTTCTCTGTAGAAAAACACAAACATTAGTGAAAAGGTGAAAAATGTGGACACAAGCCGATAACCGTATGGGTCAGTACTTGTTGTCCCTATTAGGACTCACCCACAATCATTTACTGTTAAATTGTCATCAATGTATGTGAGAATACTATGTCATTTTTTGCAACAATAGCTGCATATTCTGGTGGAGGGTCCATCTTTTGCTTGTCACACTTAACATGCCGTACTGGACTAAATATGGACTAAATAGCAAAATAATCTTCTGCAATGTCAACTAGAGGCGATACTTTCTCCCGCGATTCGATTATCGATATGCATTTGACAAGTATCAATATCAATCTAAAAAAATAAAATGACAATTTTTTATTTTTTTTAATTGGTATCAATATCTAATATATGGCTACATTACACATCTCCATTCCATTTATTTATGCCATAAATTGGTATATTGTATATTTCTGACCAATATATCGATAATTGTCATATCATATCATCATATTGATAAAATTGTTATCGTGATAATATCGTTATCATGAGCTTTGTATTGTATCGTATCGTGAGGTACCCTTAGGTTCCCACCCCTAATGTCAACCTATAATTAATACATTAATGTATTAATTTATTCAAAAATATGCAAGTCACTGTATGTCAATGTCCTTTTGGCTACGATAAGAATTCACAATCAATATATGCTAAATTGTTGCTAAATTTAATTGTAGATAAATGTATCACTCATGACTTTGAAACATTATTTGAAATTTCGAAAAGGGGTGAATATTGTGTCAGTGAAATAAAGTAGTTTCAAATCATTTATTGGGATATTTTTCCCAAGCAAAATTGTTTGTTAATTGAGGGAGATTTGCAGGGTCCTGTGTGCAACATGAAGGCTTTACGTTCCTGCAGTTTGGGTTATAGGTGCCAATTACTTAGACTTCTAATTAATCTTCCCCACTGTTTTAGAGTTGGGCAGATAAACCACATTAGAAATGATATTATGAACTTCTAGACTTCTGTATTTATGCACTTTTTTAACAGGAACATGTAAAGCCATCTATCACATTTTACGGATCAAATGTTAAAGAGGAGATTTAGCACTGTTGGGTTGACAACATCCATCCATTTTCTTCCGCTTTACCTGTTGGTGGGTCGTGAGGGCAGCAGTCCAAGAAGTAATAACATGTACTACAATACACATTATCTGTGTATTTTTATATTCTGGTCCCACTGGATGATCATCCCAGGGAAGGGACTACTTCTATTAGCTGGCCTGGGAACGCCTTGGGATTTCCCCCTGGTGAGCTGGAGGAAGTGTGTTTGGAGAAGTCTGAGCGTCTCTGCTTGGACTGCTGCCCTCACGACCCACCAACAGGTAAAGCGGAAGAAAATGGATGGATGTTGTCAACCCAACAGTGCTAAATCTCCTCTTTAACATTTGATCCGTAAAATGTGATAGATGGCTTTACATGTTCCTGTTAAAAAAGTGCATAAATACAGAAGTCTAGAAGTTCATAATATCATTTCTAATGTGGTTTATCTGCCCAACTCTAAAACAGTGGGGAATTCCTTATAACATGCTAATGTGTGTAACACCATTTACCGTAAATGTATCAAAAACATAGCAGAACAAGGTACAGTAAACAAACAACTAGTTATGTATGTACTATATGAACTGGAAGTATACAGTTCATACAGTAGACCAGCACAGTACTGTACTAGTTATACAGCTTAGCACAGTGCTGTTTAGAAGCCTTTGTTTGTAGACTTTTGATCATGTCGGGAAGACATCGTTTCTAGGATCTACTGACTGGATAACCAACGTAATAAATATAAGGTTATATAACAATAGTGGGCCAGTATGGGGACAAACACATGCATAATATCTCGTTAGCATCACAGACTGTTAGCATCCCACAGCTAGCCACTCAGTCTGGGCGTTTTATTTAGAACTGAATCAATCCATGATCATTGCAGTCACTTGTCTCATCAAACACACTTCTTCAGTCTTTTCTAAACACATGTATAGTGCTGTGAATGTTATGCAAAGTGCTGTAGACTGATGAAGACTCAGACAAAGCGTTGTGAGTGGAGTCAGCAGCAGCCTCCGCAGTCCTCACTCACCCACATCTTGATCAAAAGGGTTCGTCGTGAACAGAGGCATTGTGTTTGTCTGAGCGACTTCTTTGTTGTGTATTTCCCGTAGTTCTTTACTTGATACGGTAATAAATCATATAAATCATAGTAACTTCACAAAAGCAGCTCGCAGTTTGCTCTGCTCCGTCAGACACACGGCAACAAGCTAAGCATTCTGGGTAATCAAAACAATCCACCCTAAATCCACAATACTCCCGTGTGGACTAGTCTTTCATCCGATAGAAGCCCTGGTGAAGTACGGGAACGGGGTAAAGCCAAAGGAGCACGTAACACGGAAATACTGTATAATATAGACGCCAAATCAACCTTTGATGTAAATATAATATGTCATCGTCAGGTGACTGTGCTCACGTGACTGAATGACGCACGATAGCATTATGGGAAAAGTAGTTTTTATCGCTTATGTGTCTGTCGCATGGATGGTCTTTGGTCATTTACGAGCATTATTTGTTACACTTAAACAAAAGTGTAACAAATATTGCTACACCATGTCACTTTAAGTAAAAATATATAATAGAGATTTCTATTTTACTTTATTGATTTATAGAGTCAATTTGTTTTGTTTAGACCAGGGGTGCCCAAAGCAGGGCCCGCGGGCCAAAGTAGGCTCCCGTACCCCTTCAATTGGCCCACCGAACATCATCAACCCGTGTTGCAAGTTTCTGACTGGGGCCCTTAGAGGCTGTATTCTTACATATACATATCTGAACTTCCTTGGACACAGCAGACTCTTCATAGATATACTGTCCAGTGCTTTACTGATGTATCCAGATACACGCCTCACTCATGGTTCACATGAACTTGCACTAAAATATTTTTAAATCAAACACACTTATCAAAACAATTTCAGTCTACCATTATTTATTTTCATGAGCAATTTTATGTTTTATCAATTTGAGAGAATCTCCCATGAGCCTTTTGGGCTTGAAAGAAAGTATAGGAAAGCCTAGTGTTGAAGTACCTTCGCATTTGAGCACGTAGCTGTTGTCAGAGCAACACGCAGCCTGAGCCTCCACATTCACGTTGCTCCCTGTGTGTCAGTGTGCGTTAATGGCCAGAAAGTAAGTACATATGATTTGTTGATAAATATGTGCAGCTTTAGCCATACGTCTGTGCACTTTACAGACTTTACTCGTGTTTCCTCATGTCACAAATTATCATTTGTGACGTGATGTACCTACTTTAAGTAGTATTCTAATGTGAAATGTTTGGTTTTGCAGCTAATTTATAGTTCAAAGTTCATAGTATTGCTAGTTTATTATTAGCTACATCTATAGTGCATATGACAATCTGCGCTGCGTCTTGTGTCAAAATTAAAGGGCATGTCTGTAACTTTTTAGGAGCAAATAAGAGCTGTATTTTTCTAATATTGCGTTATAGACCCAATTTATACCTGTTATATTATTATATATATTTGATTATAACCTGTAAATAAGCCACGACAGAAATATCCCTCCTCTGGACCCTGATTCTCTGAACGGAATCTTCCCGTACTGTAGTCTCCTCAAACCAGCATATTTCCCTGGAGCCTCCACTTCACTAAGAGGGTGTTGTTTTAATTCATTCATCTGTGATTTGCACTGATAGACAATAATTATTGCATTTAATTATTTAACAGTAATTAAAGGAACTTGATCAAATTTACATTTGATCAAGTTTTTACTTTGGCCCTTGGAAGCAAAAGGTTTGCGCACCCCTGGTTTAGACTCAGATAACAGCTTTTTTTGGCACCGTTTTGGATTCAATGTGTATCTAAAAAAGGTGTTATAGCAAACTTATACATGAATCAGAATCAGAATCAGAATCATTTTTATTGCCAACGTAAGTAACGGGAGGTCACAGACTTGGAAATTGCTTTGGCTCAGTGCAACAGTCAAAAAGAGATAATAAAAATAAGAATAAAAAACACTTCTAAAGAATAAATTTTAAATTTAAAATAGAGTTACAGTTACTATTTACAATATACAAGTGCACATGGTGCACACAATGTAAGGTGACAGCAGTACAGTGAAGTAAAGTGACGTATGATGGGCAGTAAAGTGACTTTATAAAGGGCGGGGGGACAGGTTAAGAAGTGTTCAAGAGTCCAACAGCAGAGGGGAAGAAACTGTTCTTGTGGCAGGAGGTTCTAGTCCTGATGGACCGCAGCCTCCTGCCTGAGGGGAGTGGTTGGAATAGTCCATGTGCAGGTGAGAGGGGAGTGGTTGGAATAGTCCATGTGCAGGGTGAGAGGGGTCGGCTGTGATACGACCAGCCCGGCCTCGAGCTCGGGCGACGTACAGGTCCTGCAGCGATGGAAGGCTGCGGCCAATCACCTTCTCTGCAGAGCGCACGATGCGCTGTAGTCTCTGTTTGTCCCTGACTGTGGCTCCAGCGAACCACACGGTGATGGAGGAGGTGAGGATGGACTCGATGATGGCCGTGTAGAACTGCACCAACATCTGTGCAGGCAGCTTGGCTTTCCTGAGCTGCCGCAGGAAGTACATCCTCTGCTGGGCCTTCTTGATGAGGGAGCTGATGGTCGGCTCCCACTTGAGGTCCTGGGTGATGGTGGTGCCCAGGAAACGGAAGGACTCCACAGAGGTGATGGGGGAGTCCATCACGGAGGGTGGGGGCGGGGGGACAGTGCTCTTCCTGAAGTCCACAATCATCTCCACTGTCTTCTGGGCGTTCAGCTCCAGGTTGTTACCACTGCACCAGGACACCAGCCGGTCCACCTCCCTCCTGTAGGCGGACTCATCGTTGTTGGAGATGAGTCCAATGAGGGTGGTGTCGTCCGTGATATGATATTTGAAACCTTCATCTTCATGTCATATGTGTTTGGGCCTGTGTGTGTGTGGGTGTGTGTGTGTGAATGTGCGTGTATGCGCATGGGTTGTTTTTTGTTGTTTTTTTTCTATATATATATATATATATATATATATATATATATATATATATATATATATATATATATTACTACCACCAATGGTATATATATATACCATTGGTGGTAGTATCGTATTGAAATTCTTGGCAAAATGTACAGTAGTATTCTTGTATAACATTGGTGGTAGTGTTGTATTGACAGTAGTACTTTGTAATGTGATTTTTGGATTATTTTGACGGGTGTTGTGTGGGTGAGAGGGTTGGGCTAAAATAAGCATAGTGCTTCATCCAACCCCTTTTCAAACCTTGAACATATGTGTCTGAACATTTGTCAAATGTGTCTTCTGTGCAGGTTTTGAAATAAAGAAATAAATTCAATATATTCAGGGCCTCTCCTAAGTACAGTATGTTTTGATTTATGGTGGCATGCGCTTATGACACCCAAACACATCACATGGAATTATTCATTCTGTGAAAACTAGATAAAGAACCAAAATGTTTTGAGCGAAAGGAACTTGCAACATATTATATTCTAGCTTCACCTTAATATTATAATAATATGACACATTGAATATTGAATCAGAACACAACCATAGGTGTATCAAAATCATATATTTATTTCTTAAATAAAGCAGAGCATCTTAATCATTATCTTTCAGTGGATTTCATTATTTTGAACTCATAATATGATTAAACAAAACGTATACCGTGTAACTACACTATATCAAAAGATATTCACAATTTGAAAATGTTCATAAAGGACTATGGCTCACTCAAAATACATACATATGTCTTAAAATGCACACATTTTTAAAACAAATTGAAAGGCAGTTAGTGTAACTAAAGAAACATTGCAGTCATTTCGCAATACATGGGCACTTTGTGGGAGCTTAGTTACAGTCACAGCTTCATCTGTGTGTGGTATAAAAATACTAAATAATAGTCGCTTTAGTAACAGCATAATCATCTGTGAGTAGAATTTGATTAACAAAATATGTCATTATTTACAAATCAAGCTGTACAACATTAAGACTTCATTTGGACACCGACCGACGTTCCATTATTTTTTCCCAGATGCTCCATTTCAAATCCAGGGCTGTGTTCTGTCCTCTGCACCACAATGTTGTAAAGTGCTTTTCATGGTCAGCGCTGCGCTCCGTGACGCTCGCTGACTTTATCAGAGTCTTGTAGGAAACACTACAGCTCCTGCTTCACCCATGGTCACCACTGAATGACTAAAACTGGAACATCTGTGTGAAAAAGAGAAAATATGACTTAATGCTGGCACTAAACACATGTAAATGACAAGAAATACAGATTGAAATGTTACGTAGGATCCTGTATGCTTTAACATAATAAGGAAGTAGTCTTGAACTTCCAACTTTAGTATAATGAAGAAGCCAGAATTAAGTATAACATTTCTGACTTATTTCTGAAGCAAAATAATGAATTCAATAAAAAATTGGGATACGGAGTGAATCTGAAATCTCCAACTTAAGAAAATGAAGAAGAAAGAACTAAGTATAACATTTCTGATTTTGGCATAATGAAGAAGAAAGTAGAACATCTCTAACGTAGCTTAACTAACTTGAATTATGAAAATGAATAATTAATTTTTCTTGTATAAGTGGTGGTTCTCAATTGGACCATCAACATTTAAAACCAAGCAGTTCCGTGAATAAAAACTGAATTTAGTTAATAAATAATGACGTGAAAGCATTGAATAAAACTGCAAAGCTGAAATTATGAAAAAAATAACAAATTCAAAGCAAATAGATAACCAGCAGTGCAATGGAGCGAGTATGGGACAGTATTTACAATACAGATAAATATATGTACATGTATAAATGTGAGACTGTATAAAGCTGCTATTGCTAGAATATACATTAATTACATTACAATAATTAAAAGTGCTCACTTCCTGTTGTCTGATGTGCCCATAACATTTGTCTGGGAAAAAAGAATGAAAAAACTGCTCCCTCTGGTGGTAGCATAGGGAGCTACAGACAGAAAGAATGTTTTACTTGTTTCACCAAATATTTTCTGTTACCTGTTTAGCTGTGCACATGTTGTACTATTTATCTATTTTTAAACCCCCCTCTTTAACAAGAGTTTTAGACGCTAAATACTTTGAAGCTGCAGTATTTTGATTCTAGTTCATTCATGTATCTGTATGGCCCTCTGCTGTCATGATTGGTATTTATACAATCCAACCTAATCCACTTTATTTATAGAGCACACTTTATAAAACAAGTTTACAAAGTGGTTCACAGAGATAAAATTAACACATTTAAATATGTCTGCCAACTATAAAAGTATGTAATAAAGGAAGATAACGCAAAAATATGATTTTTGTTGTTGTTGAAATTAATAAAAATAATGCATTGCGTTTTGATGTGTGTTTTGTGAAGCACTTAGAATTGCCTTGTACACAAAATGTGCTAAATAAATAAATGTTGACTGATTGATCACTGTATTTCACATTCAAACATAAGTAAATTGTCATTTTTGAAGGCCAAAAATAATGCATAATCTTCTTAGACTAATTTCAAGATCTGACTGCTGATTTGTCAACCTTTCAAGTAAATAAAGTTTATCCAATGTTCCCATCTCTAAATTACTTTTCAAAATCATAAGCAATAATTTGTTTGCAGTGTACTAGATACAGACTTGTGATGCACTGAAAATGATTTCGTGACCCCGACCCGCAAGTTGAGAACCACAGTAATAGAGTAAAGAGCGTCAGACCGTCAGCGGTGCGTTCACAGATGAAGCCGATGCGGTCTGTGCAGTAGAAGTCGTTCCACTTGGCCTGGTGAATGAGTCCAGCACAGTCCTCTCCTTTCTCGTGTCCGTGGGTCCAGTTATCAGGCTGCCCAGGCTTCCAGTTCCTGCAGGAGGCAACAAAGCACCACGATGTGATGCTGTATGTAGTTTTAATCACACTAACGAGAATTGTGGTTAACGTACGTGAACTCAGGGACAGTCCCATCCACCCATTTCCACTCATTCTCCTTCTCGATGTCCGTGAGGCCCAGCCAAAAGTACGTCTTCCCTGTTATAGATTTTTGAATGTATTGCTGCAGAAGACAGAACATGAACACATATAATTGTAAATACATTAAAGAAGTTTGGGAAAAAAGGTAAACAGTAACAATGTGAGAGGCACCTGCTCATCAATGTCATTGATTATCAGCAAATGTGTTGAAATGTTGCTGCAGAACGCGGTGGCCTCATCAAAGCTGAGTCTTTGAGCAGCGGTGGAAACATAGTAACAGCTTCCTCTCCACTTTTTAAAGTTTAGGGGGCAGCCTGGAATCAAATAATAAACATATTATAAATGTTTAGAAGGTCCAAATATAAATCTGAAAATTTAGAAGGTCACTCACCGGGAACTGGAGCAGGTGGCTCAGTCGGCTGAATCTGCCGGTCCACTGTACTTTCAGGCATCACTGTGGATGCAGGTTTGGGGGGTTTTGGGGGTTTGGGGAGCTGTGTGGGCCGAGGCTGTGGGATGAGAGGGGGCGGAGCTGGGAGTCCTGGTAAACCCGGGGGACCAGGAGGACCAATAGGGCCCACAGGACCACGTGGACCATCCTGACCCGCTGGCCCTGGGGCTCCTCGGACCCCTGGCTCTCCTGGAGGACCCTGTAGTCCAGTGAGGCCGTCCCGGCCTGGCTGCCCCTGAGGCCCAGGGTCGCCTTTCTCTCCTGATGCTCCAGGTCGGCCCCCAGCTCCTCTGGACCCTTTCACCCCTGTAAGGCCTGGAAATCCAGCAGAACCTTTAGGCCCCACACCACCTGTTGGACCAGGCGCTCCTCTTTCCCCTTTAGGTCCCACAAGCCCCAAAGGACCTTTGTCTCCTTTGTCGCCCTTGGGTCCAGTCTGACCGACAGGACCCTGTGCTCCCCTGTCTCCTTTAGCCCCTCTCGGCCCCGGAGGCCCTGCAGAGAGACACAGGTGACCATTTGTTCATATGAAAGTGTACATTTCGTGTGAGAGTGTCCGACCTTGCAGGATGGTGAAGTTGGTGATGAGCTGAGAGTGTTTGCTGTCCACCAGCTTCATCTCCTCCATGATGGTGGACAGACTGGTCACCTCTTTGTCCATACGTGCCATCAGTTCCTCCTGTTGGGCCTTTAGGTCTCTGCTGTCAGTGCTCGCCTCAGTCACGCTGCTGTTGAGAGCCGCAATCAGGTCCGTATGCTTCATCACGGTCTCCGCACATGCCCTCATCCCGTTCAGGTCGGAGCTGATAGCGCCCAGCAGCTGAGAGGAGAAGCTCACATTCCCCGTCACTCGGTCCATGTCGCTCTCATGCCGGTCTAAGCGTGTCTCCACCTCGTCGAAGCGGGCTGAGGTGCTGTTGTCGTGGTCCCGCTGGTGGTCCATCAAATCTCTGAGGCTCCGGTCGTGGACCTCGGTGAGGGCTGAGGCGTTCTGGATCTGACTGGCCAAAGTGTTGAGCTGTGCCCCCAGGTCCTCCAGCGCCTCCCCGTTTGAGCGTGTCAGAGCAGAGTTGTTCGCGGCCAAAACCTGCAGGTTCTGAACCTTCTCCTTCAGCCACTCTGTGTCCGAGCGAGCCTGGCGCGCAGTCTGCTGCAGCCCCTGCAAGAGTAGGGATCGCGGTAAGTGTTTTTTTTTTTTCTTTAACATTGTTGGACCAATGCATATGTGTTCTATATTTTTTGTGTCTTAACTGTTGATTTTCTGATTTGTGTTGACAATTTCAATGGTTTTGTGCATGTCCTTGTACCTGATAGTCGTTCTTGAGCCTCTGCACTGCTTGACCCGCGTCCTCCACAGTCCTCTGCAGACTGGTCATCAGGTTCCTCTGCTGGGTCTGGCTGATGTTTAGAGCACTGATGGTGACCTGGCTCTCTCCCTGCGCTTTCACCTGCGTCTGTATCTCTGACTGCAGATACGCTGTGTCTGTCTGCAGATTGTCCAACATGCTGCTGTAGGAGGTCAGGCTCTGGTTAACGGAGTGCAGAGAGGCGGCGTTGGAGTCCAGGATGTCCCGTAGAGACGCGTGGCTGCTCTGCATGTCGCCCCCCGTGAGGCGCAGCTCATCCAGGACGTCCCGGTTCTTTGTGGCTTTGAGTGCGATCTCATCCAGCTGCCTCCTCAACGTCTCCAGGTCCGATTTAAACGTGCGGATTTCACTGGTGGCGTTCACAGACTTCTGACCTGAACGATTTCCTACGACGGAGCAGAGCAGGTGACAGTTAGAGGGATGACTAATGTCCATAAACGTCAATAAATGCCCAAACATGTTCATACAGTAAATGTCCTTAAAGGAACACTGTGTAGTTTTAGCGTTGAGATCTTTATGACAGAGCTCCTCAACTCTCAGTCATTCACCAGACTGCCAAGGAAAGAATCCTTTAGTTTGATAAATGACCGGATCGGGCACTTGACACAATCATTGCTCTCATGGACATTTATAAGTTAAATTCTAAGACAATTACAAAAACATGGTAGAGGTAAATATTCTTAAAAAGGTCACATTTGTTTTTGTTAACATGTTTTTTCATATGGAGCAACTGTAAAATTTAAATTTCCCAGATTATCACTGTCCTTAGATCCTCTTTCTTCTTCATATTAAAAACTATAATTGTAATTCAAATAATAATTACAAAGTTTGCTGTTTCATTGGTCCTAACAGATTATTATTTAACGTTTTGTGAATAAATCAAACCACAACATGCTGTCTTTATTCAATTTTATTCATTTTTGTACAGCCCTAAATCTCAGCAGAAGTCGTCTCGAAGGACTTTACTAAATATTAGATGCAATGTTATTTTATTAGAAAAGATTGCATTTTTTACATAAAATAAAATGTAAAAGATGCATACGTAAAAGAGGCCAAAGTTCATTTCAAACTAGTGGTAGAACCAATCTTTTTTTTTTTGAGCTTGGACACTAGTTTTACAACATTATACAGGTTTTGTGGTTTCGATGTTAGGTACTTCAGGTTTAAACAAAATAAACAGTGGACACTGAATGCTAGAATGCGGGAAGGGAACTCATCATTGAGTCTTCTTTTCTGGAATATTATGCCAGTAAATCAAAAATCCCATCAAAAATGATCAAAATGACACACATAATCTGGGATTTAGGATACAGGTACGACATCTTGAAAAAAAAAACATTTTAGAAACACATTTACAAATATTCAAATCTAAAAGAATGTTTTTGTCATAGAGGACTTATGTTTTAAATTTTCCCAATTTGAATCTTAAACTGTTGCCCTGAATGTACCCACAAGTCTTGGATGGAATAACGTATCAAAAAAGTAAAAAATAGTGAAAACTGTATAATCACAATTGGACTCACCAAATTTCTTTAGATCAGTCTCGACTTCGATGATCTTGCCTCCGTAGTTTTGCATACCTTCCGTCACATTATCCATTTTCTGAACCACTGTCAAACAATGAAAAAAAGTCAAGTTTTGTGGTTTTGTTTTGACACTTCTGCAGTGGCGTTTCCCCAACACTAGATGTCACACTGCAGACATAGACTGAACTATTCCTTTGCCAAACCGAATTGAAAAGATTAGGTCCTTTACGGTGCCAGGTAACCAGGCAACAGCAGACTGAGACCCACAAATACAGGCTTGATATTGGGGCAAACATAATAAAAATCACATGATGGATTTCTCTCCCTTTTTCTTCCTTAAATCTGGTTCGTGTCCGTGTGTGGATGTCCAAAAATTACAAGGAAAAATGTTCTGGAGAGAGCATCCTGATCTTTGCTAATATTCCAAGAAGTGACAAAACATGAAAGAAAAACACAGAACAGAGAGAATAAAACGTTTACGAGGTCCTGAGTGAGGTCATCTGCTAGAGAGAGAATAATGCATGAGAATGTTGATTTCATATTTAGTTTATTAAACAACCAGAGTGTTCTTTGAATAAACAGCTGGTTTCTTGGCACTTTAGAGGAGTATAAACAGTATAATTGTATATTTGAGAATTTAACATCTCCATGGTGACCAGATGTGCCTATGCAGATGAGGCATAAGTACTTTTAGTCATTTACAAGTTATTGCACACTTAATCCAAACTATACATTGGACCACAGACAAAATATGTGGCAACTGGTGTGTGTAACTTGTTGAATTTTGTGAGTGAACCTTACAAATTACTACTGAGCCATAAAACCGTGCCATAAGTGGTTTAAGTTGGTCATCTGCTAAACATTACAGGCCAAGCCACAGACATCATATGCTCTCCAAAACAACACCGGGAAGAGTGCAAGGCGCTATGACAGGGAGAAATACACACGTGATGTAGAATAAGGACAATAAGATCAGCCAATCCAAGTTTATTTGTATAGTTTATTCATACACAAGGCATCTTAAAGTGCTGAACAAAACAAGATAAAAACAGTCACACAAGGAATTAAAATCATAAATAATCACACTACATTAAAAAGAAAGAAAAAACTATAAAATCGCTCGGTTGTAAGCACAGCTAAACAGAAATGTTTTTAACCTGGATTTGAACATTGTCAGAGAAGAAAAGCAAATTCTATTCAAGTACATGTATTTTTGTATAGGTCTATATCACAACAACAGTCGGCTGAGAGAAGTTGTTGACTCACCAACAACAGATCAGAGAATCAAACAGTTCCCACACAGGAAAAATAACAAACGCACAGGAGCCATCGGTCCATAGGGAGCAGGCTGACCAATGTCCATAAACATCAATAAATGCCCTTAAATGTTCATAAATGTTCATAAATGTTATTAAATGTCCTTATATTTCCCAGATGATCACTGTCCGTAGAACCTCCTTTCTTCATATTAAAGACTATATATGTAATTTATCTAATTGCCACTGTTTCTTTAATTGCCACTTTTTATTGTACATAATATATCCTGAACTTAATATATTTTTTTCCTCTGACATGTTTGCACACTTCTGTCTTTTGCACAAATATGAGTGATTCTGGAGCCAGGCCTGGGGTCGGGGCTCGCAAGCGAGAACCTGGTGGCCGGGCCTTAGCCCACGGGGCCCGGCCGGACTCAGCCTGAAGGGATGACGTGGGCAGTCCCTCCTGTGGGCCCACCACCTGCAGAGGGGTCCGTGGTGGCGTGGTGCAGAGAAGACTGGGCGGCAGTCGAAGGCGGAGACCTCACCGACCCCGTCCACACACCCAATATCTGGCTCCTGGGACGTGGAATGTCACCTCACTGGGGGGGAAGGAGCCCGAGCTTGTGGGGGAGGTTGAGCGATACCGACTAGAGATAGTCGGCCTCACCTCCACACACAGCTTGGGCTCTGGAACCCAACTCCTCGAGAGGGGTTGGACGCTCCACTTCTCTGGTGTTTCCCGCGGGGAGAGGCGGTGAGTTGGGGTGGCCATACTCATGGCCCCCCATCTCAGCCGCCATGTGTTGGAGTTCTCCCCGGTGAATGAGAGGGTCGCGTCCCTCCTCCTCCGGGTGGGGGACAAGTCTCTCACTGTTGTGACGGCCTACGGGCCTAACGGCAGTGCAGAGTACTCGGCCTTCTTGGAGTCCTTGGGAGGTGTACTGGACAGTGCACCGCCCGGGGACTCCGTCATTCTCCTGGGGGACTTCAACGCCCATGTGGGAAATGCCAGTGACACTTGGAGGGGGGTGATCGGGAAGAATCGCTGATCTGAACCCGAGCGGTGTTCAGTTGATGGACTTCTGTGCTAGTCACAGTTTGTCCATCACGAACACCATGTTTGAGCACAAAGGTGTCCACCAGTGCACGTGGCACCAGGACACCCTAGGCCGGAGGTCGATGATCGACTTTGTTGTCGTATCATCTGACCTTTGGCCGCGTGTCTCGGACACTCGGGTGAAGAGAGGGGCGGAGCTGTCAACCGATCACCCCCTGGTTGTGAGTTGGATCCACTGGCAGGGGAGGAAGCCGCTCAGGCCTGGCAGACCCAAGCGTGTAGTGAGGGTCTGCTGGGAACGTCTCGCTGAGCCCCCTGTCAGACGAACTTTCAACTCACACCTCCGGGAGAGCTTCTCCCAGGTCCCGGCGGAGGAGGGGAATATCGAGTCTGAGCGGCGGTAACCCCCAAACCCGGTGGTGGACACCGGCAGTAAGGGAGGCCGTCAGGCTGAAGAAGGAGTCCTATCGAGCCATGATGGTTCGTGGGACTCCTGAGGCAGCTGTCCAGTACCGGCAGGCCAAGCGTGCCGTGGCCCGGGCTGTTGCAGAGGCAAAAACCCGGGACTGGGAGGAGTTCGGAGAGTCCATGGAGCATGACTATCGGTCGGCCTTGAAGAGATTCTGGCAAACCATCCGGCGCCTCAGGAGGGGGAAGCAGTTCTTTGCGTGTATGGTGCGGGTGGAGAGCTGCTGACCTCGACTGGGGATATTGTCGGGCGGTGGAAGGAATACTTCGAGGTTCTCCTCAATCCCCCCGTCAAGTCCTTCGTCCCGGAGGCAGAGGCTGAGGATGTTGGGGCGGATACTTCTATCTCCCTGGCAGAGGTCACCAAGGTGGTTGGCAGCCTCAATGGTGGCAAGGCGCCGGGAGTGGATGAGCTTCGTCCTGACTATCTAAGGTCTCTGGATGTTGTACGACTGTCTTGGCTGACACGTCTCTGCAACATCGCGCGGCGATTGGGGGCGGTGCCAATGGAGTGACAGACCGGGGTGGTGGTCCCTCTCTACAAGAAGGGGGATCGAAAGGTGTGTTCCAATTATCGTGGGATCACACTCCTCAGCCTCCCCGGTAAGGTCTACTCCAAGGTACTGGAGAAGAGGCTACAGCTGATGGTTAAATCTCGGATTCAGGAGGAGCAGTGTGGTTTTTGTCCCGGTAGCGGAACACTGGACCAGCTCTACACTCTCCATAGGATACTCGAGGGCTCATGGGAGTTCGCCCAACCTGTCCACATGTGCTTTGTGGATTTGGAGAAGGCATTCTACCGTGTTCCCCGGGCCGTCCGGTCCCTCTATGACCGGAGTCAGACCTGTGTTCACATTGCCGGCAGTAAGTCAGACCTGTTCCCGGTGCATGTTGGCCTCCGCCAGGGCTGCCCTTTGTCACCGGTTCTGTTCACTGTATTCATGGACAGAATTTCTAGGCGCAGCCAGGGCCCGGAGGGGGTCCGGTTCGGGGACCACAGGATTTCATCTCTGCTGTTTGCGGACGATGTTGTCCTGTTGGCTCCAACAAACCAGGACCTGCAGCATGCACTGGGACGGTTTGCAGCCGAGTGTGAAGCGGCTGGGATGAAAATCAGCACCTCCAAATCCGAGGCCATGGTGCTCGACCGGAAAAAGGTGCCTTGCCCTCTCCAGGTGGGTGGAGGGGTCCTTCCTTAAGTGGAGGAGTTCAAGTATCTCGGGGTCTTGGTCACGAGTGAGGGAAGGATGGAGCGTGAGATTGACAGGCGGATTGGTGCAGCGTGCGCAGTGATGCGGTCTCTGTATCGGACCGTCGTGGTGAAGAGGGAGCTGAGCCGAAAGGCAAAGCTCTCAATTTACCGGTCAATCTTCGTTCCCTCCCTCACCTATGGTCATGAGCTGTGGGTAATGACCGAAAGAACGAGATCGCGGATACAAGCGGTCGAAATGAGCTTCCTCCGCAGAGTGGTTGGGCGCTCCCTTAGAGATAGGGTGAGGAGCTCGGAGTAGAGCCGCTACTTCTCCACGTTGAGAGGAACCAGTTGAGGTGGCTCGGGCATCTGTTCCGGATGCCTCCTGGACGCCTCCTTGGGGAGGTGTTCCGGGCACGTCCCACCGGGAGGAGGCCCCAGGGAAGACCCAGGACACGCTGGAGGGACTATGTCTCTCAGCTGGCCTGGGAGCGCCTTGGGGTTTCCCCGGACGAGCTGGAGGAAGTGTGTGTGGATAGGGAAGTCTGGGCGTCTCTGCTTAGACTGCTGCCCCCGCGACCCGGCAACGGATGAAGCGGAAGAAAATGGATGGATGAGTGATTCTATCTATTCCAAACGTGTCATGTAAATTCCTCCTGTGTGAGATCAATAAAGTCTATCTAATCTCTGACCAAGAATAGCAGTAATTTAGACCACTTTTTCATAGCCCATTGCTTTCATGGCATTAATATTAAAGGGGACATATCATGAAAAATCCACTTTTTGTGCCTTAAATGCCTTATGTTGTGTAGTTGGAGCCTCTAGAAGTGCAAAAAAGTTGAAATCAGTCTCTTCATGGGTTGCAGAGAACACTTCATATTCTGTTTAGGTAAGATTTTTCAACCCGTTCTGATTTTGCCATTCTCTATTACGTGTTTAGAATTATTACGTCACAGTATTTGCAGCGAGACTGCCATATAAGGGCATGGGCGTCTAACAAAACACTTTGGCCCAGCCCTCCTCTACTGTGCATCACTTAATTTGTAGTCCAAGCTCAAGGATGCCAGCGAACAGGGCTGGACTGGCCATCGGGCGTACCGGGCAATGCCCAAAGGGCCGATGCCCATATTTGGGCCGGTCCGTCTGCCTCATACAAAACACATGTTTATGAGAAGTGTAAATCCGTTGAGAATTGTTGGAGCGGGGCGCGCGTATCCGCGGGGCACCTGCTGTATGTACTCGAACGGGATTCCGCCACCTCAGCGGCCGCAGTGTTCCGGGGCATCGGCGGCCGCTTTGTAATGAGCAGCTTCCGCGTCCAGCGGCTGCGAGAGGCTGTGAGCGTCCAGCCGCTCGCAGCCGCTCCACCGTGTTGTGGCTGAGCGCGCAGCCTCAACGTGGCCATGTACCCAACGTCCCAACCGCATAAACGCGCACAGGACCATGCGTGTCTTTGAGTAATCTGTGCACCCAATAAATACACTGCTGCAGGAAACAGTCCGCGTCTCTCCTCTCCTCTCGAAGCGCGAATAAACGCCCTAAATAAAGCTCTGATACCTACATTTTGCATAGCATTAAAAGTTCATGTTTGAGCCCAAAAGTAATATGTTGTGAACAAATTAAACAGATTTAGAGCCAGCAAATGGCTGACAATATGCATTTCAGTCTTTTTTGACCAATTCTCATCCCTGTAACAAACAATAGTGTTGTCTGTGCCCACCTCCCTCACTCTGAGACATGTTTTATTTTATGTGACTGCATATTGTAAAGTGTCCCAAGGGATCCCGGCCCCTGGGCGCGAGGTCTGCGGGGGGCATATAAAATAAATTATTATTATGTAAATTTAAGTTTGTTTATATAAAATTTGGTCATTTGACTGAATCACTGTATCATTTGTATCAGTTGTACAGGCTATTCCCTACCAGAGCTATCTATGTCTCTGTATATTTGGGGGGCCGCGACCCGATTTTAGGGGCTCGTGTTACGATTGGAAGGCTCTCAGTATTGCTCCAACGTATAAACTAGGAGTCGGCAACCTGCGGCTCCGGAGGCGCATGCGTCTTTTTCCTTCTGTAGAAGGAAAAACATTCTTAACGTTTTTAAATGCTGTAAAATTGTGCATAAGTAATATTCAATTTAAAAATTTCTGTCAACGTGTCTGTCAAACCGGCGTGTGAGCATCATAGACTGTGCGCATTGATCCCAAAGCTAAAAAGAGAAGAGTCGATAATAAGACTTGACTAAGAATGAAAATTAACATTTGCTTTCAGTCAGTGAGGAAGGACTGCTTCATGTTTGCGATGTAATGAGAAGTTTCTATGAGATAATTGTATCTGTGCTTAGAAACTACAAAAATGGCCGCTCGGGGTGGAGTTGAACCTGTGTCACCTGGATGGGGGGGTGGTCAAAAGCGCCTCATTTGCATTTAAAGAGACAGCACCAAAACAGGTTGCTCTCAGACGCACCTCAGAACAGGTGTAGAAGAAAGGCCCGTGGAGCTACAAATGATGAGACTCAGACCCAGGCATTGCAGTTACGCTTCATATAGGCCACAAATTAATGATTTAGATGTAAAAATCAATTATTTGAAAACACGATATGTCCACTTTAAAGAATTAGAATATTAAACTATACACAAGTCAAACAAGGGAGAATACTTTATGTAATGACAGACATTTAAACAAGGAGTGTCACAATTTTTTTTTTTTTTCTGGAGGCTGAAACTTCTTCTTATTTATATTTAACAAAGTATAATGTTTTTTCTGAATGAATTGTCAAGGCCTCTGGATAAACATACCTTTGAATCCGAGCACAGCCACGGCAATGGTGAGCAAGGCACAGAGCACGTAGAGCAGGCCGATGGCAGCACGTAAGGCCCAGTCATTTTTACATTTGGTGCACTCGGCCCCCTCTTGAATACCTGCAACAGAGAAGAGAGATAAACTGTGACATTTTCGAACTTAGAAATAACAGAAAACACATTTGTATTTTGATTACGTTTCAAGCAATAACTTTGAAAGCACCAAAACACAATGTCATACAATCGATCTTTCCTCGCTCTCGAAACAGTTCAGTTCTATCACTAGTTTTTGCATGCATGTACTTTGGACTGTCACCTCGTTCAGACATCAGCTTTTTTCAGACAGAAAATTTAAAAAGAGAAGGCGACCCTCACTCAGGCAATCAGCTTTCAGAATGTAAAAGTTAGAATGTTTACTAATCAGACAAAGCATGTAATGGTCTCATTTCTTCACAAAAACAAGTGTTTGGGAATAATTATCAAACAAGAAATAGTTTGATGCTTCACCTTTAATCTGTATATATTTTATAATAATAGTAGTCGTACAGTATAAACAGAATATTCTTTGTTTTGTTCTTTTTTTTTACTATATTTTGCCCAGCTCTCATTCCAATATCAGACAGGAGCATTAGGGTTTGATTGCATAACTGGGCTCAGTAAAGTCTAAAACGGGACACGCTGTGCTTCTCTGCATCCAAGGATCTATTGAAAACAGTTGCCTGGCCAGTAACACTCACTATAAAACTAGAAAAACATGTGTTGGCCATATGTCATTGGGGAAGACAGTGCATTTCAGAGTAATTATTCATCCCTCGTCCACACAACAAGATATTTTTAGTTCATTTGCGTCATGTGTTTAAGAAAAGTGTTGTCCTTGTAATTTGGTCAGGTGCTTTATAGGAAGTTTATGACAAATCTAACTGTACTGTTGCCAACAAAACAAAACAATTCAAACCGTTACCATGCAAAAAAGCTATTGCGTCCTTATTATATTATTATCGTATGATATCTTTTATAGTGATTAAAACAATATATGACACTGTATGTATCACACTCCTTATAGTGCACTCATAATACAATAATAAGATACTTTTGTCCCCTAGAACCTTCTTTAAATCCACACTTTACTGCCACAAACTCCGCTCTTTTCCTTCCCGCTCTGACTCCGCTCTACCGCTGCTCTGATCAGCAGCTCTGATTGGTCAAAGCGCAGCCGAGCCCCTCTGTGCACATGCATGAAAGCCACAAACACGTATTTGGCGCAAAGCATCATGGGAGCTCGTCCACTGCGCAGAACCGGGAGGACCAGACGATGCCCAAATATAGACGAGTTCTGCTAATCTCCCGGTCTCCTTGAAGTCCCATGCGCTACTGAGCACCATTTGAATAGGACGCCATTCATTTGAATAGGGCGCCATCTTGGATCACCGGGACTTGATAGCGAGAGGCTAATATGAGCTACTGTGGCATGTTACACACCAGTTTAAAGCTAATCTCCGCATTCAAACATCAATTTACTTTTTCTATACACTGAACCCAGAAAGCACGCAATAATAATAATTGTTGCAATCAGTAATTAGTATCAGGAAGTCGTCCTTAGTTTTGGTCCAGTTTTGATTTGGCCAATCAAGTGCTCATTCAATACAAATTAAAATTCAATACAATCCTTTGCTAAAAAAATCTACATAAGGCTACATAAAAATAAAAAAAACCAAAATAAGCAAAATCTAAAAATGATGAACCCCCCTTCCCCTCACACTCGTGCCCTGACTGTGCTAGCTGGGTGTACACAGGTCAAAACAGGTTGGGAACCACTGCTTTGTTTGTTTATTGTAAGTAGTAAGTAAGTAATGTTTATTTATATAGCACATTTTACAGACCAAGGTCACCCAAAGCGCTTTACAATGTTCAGAGTCAGATATTGTTCCAATCATTCCACACACGGTGATGACGGAAGCGAGTCGCAGAACACACTTGAGCATCAGCCCCAATTAACACCATCCATTCACTCGCTCATTTACATTCATAGCTATTGTGCATGTTTTTAGTGGTAGGGGAACCGGGAGGACCCAGAGAAAACCTACGCAGACACGGGGAGAACATTCAAACTCCACTCAGAAAGGCTCTGTTCCGAAAGAGATTTGAACCTAGGACCTTCTTGCTGAGAAGCGAGATTGCTATCCACTCAGCCACCGTGCCACCCAAATGTTAGTTTAGTTCTTTATAGTCTTCATGCACTGGAATGAACTTAGAAGAGGAATTGTAACATGTTAGACAAAGGCACTACAAAAACATTGACCGTAACTTTTTTCTTTTGTTCATAATTTACGAATAATTGAGCTCAATATTATTTCCTCATAATTATCATTATTCCAATTTTGAAATTGTGATACCCCCAATGTATTTCCTCTGCCACTTATGTTTACTCATTTGACGGGACGATGCGGTCATACATAGCAGCAAAAGCAAACAGCAAAATATGCAACTGTCCCCGCTTGAGCTTTACATAATGCATTGTATGTTTCGTTAGTTTCATAGTAAGTGATATATTTAAAACGTGATATAAAAAACTCACATTCTGACTGACTCTAGATAGTTTAACAGAACAGTGTCCTCATTGGAGAATAATGCAATGTCAAACATCCCAAAAACTTGTGTAGGACGCAGGATGTTTGCTTGACTTCATTAGGAGTGACCACATGCCTCTGGCGGTGCAGTGCAAGGGCAGCTGGGAAATATTCACAACGCTCAATAAAACACATGTTATCTGACAGACTGTGGCCAAATCAGGCGAAGGGTAGGACAAGAATCTAGACACCTGAAATGGATGAGCTTTGACTGGGAGAAATATATTTGACTAAATTAACCATATGTATTTTCGACTGTTTTTCGATTCCTAAAGGGCTGAATCCAAACTAACCGATGCCAAAACCCTGTTTGATATGAAAAGTCAATTGTAAACAGTTCTGGATCATCGGCAGCAGCGGCTGATACTCTACCCTTCCTTCCTTTTTACTGTGCAGAGTAGGGATGTTTCATTTATGTCTTAATAGAGAACCTGATATTTTGTGCTTGTAACATTAGAGTTCCTCCAGCTCCCGGCCAGCTGAAAGACATAGTCCCTCCATCATGTCCTTTATGTTCACCATGTCCAAAGAGGTGTACAGGAAGCATCTGAAACAGATGCCCAAGCCACCTCTACTGGCTCATCTCGACGTGGAGAAGCAGCGGCTCTATTCCGAGCTCCTCCCACGTGACTGTGCTCTTTCTGATGAAGGTCAGAATGAGGCTGCTTGTATCTGCGATTTTGTCCTCTCGGTCATGACCCAAAGCTTATGACAGTGAAATCTATTGATTTTATTGTAAAACCAAATAGATCTCTTCATTCTACAACAAACAGTGTCCCTCGTTGTACCTTGTTCCACATCATCTTTGCTCTCTGTGAAGGGTCTGGACGGCCCAGCGAAGGGGCACACATCTGTCCAAACACTGTGTTTGTCTGACCACAGTCTGAGGACTGTCAGTGACATGGCCCCACATCCAGAGCCTGCTGCTTCAAGGACAACCACAGTGAGTAAACACCACTCTGACCGGCCGAGGCTCAGGTCAAGAGTCAAGAACAGAGCAGATGTGATGGACAGAAAACACCAGCTGTAGTCAGGGTCAGTGGATAACAACAGCAGAGTCTCAGAATTAAAATGCATTGTTGTTTAACATCCATGATGCTGTTAGAGTCTGATCAAGTTGGTTACACTGTAACTTGCCTCTAAACCAGGTGGTCAAAGTCATTTTGATGAGGCCAAAATTTTAAAAACTGTAAGCTGGTTGGGGCCCAGTACTTTATTAAGCCCTTATGATCAATGTTGAAAGTTAAAAGGAGAACTGAAAATCAAACAAATTGTATTTCATGTGAACCCACAGAGCTACACAACGTATTACAGATTCATCTATAGCTGTATACATGCGATTGTTGATTCCTTTGCACATACATACAGGTTTATACCTACTGTATGTGTATATGATCCATACTTTGTTTCTTTATTAATCTAAAGATAGTTTTATTTTTCTATTCTGTTAATTTTATAGTTTAGTGGTGAGCCATACTTAATGGCCCTCATTTATGAAACTTGCGTACTGCCACCTCAGGGTGCGTATGCAAATAATTTACACATTTTGGCATTTATCAATCTGGACGTGGGCGTACGGTACACACAAAATATACACCGAGTCTGGAGTCATCTCAACCTTCATCACAACACGCCAAAACACGCATGGAATTCAAGATTTGGACAACAATAAACATAGTCCCACTCTGGCAAAATCATAAGCGGCGTTTTCAATGAGCGTTACATTTCGAAATTTGAATTTGCAAAAACTCAAATGAAACACACACATTTTGAATAAATCACAGATCATGATGAGGACCCTGTTCTGTTTCTTTGTTTTTAAATCTTACTTGTGTGTATTATTTTGATCGGTATGTTTTTAAAAATGTGAATTCTGTGGCAGACCCTCCGCTGCGTAATTACGCATGGCTATTTGTTTTGTCTCATTTACCTCTGGCAAAACAATGTATTTTTTCATCAGTTTTGTGCATAAAGCGCCATAAACGCAGGGATGGCAGAGACATGGCAAAGCGCTGATCCAGAGTTCCTCTGTGAAATCACGGACACTTCCCAAACTCATACCATACTCCATTAAATTTACAAGAAGATGCTGCTGACGCTTGACCCTGTTAGTGCGCAGAGTCAGAACTAAACACGGGGAGGCTGCTATTCAGATTCATGCTGCTAAAATCTGGAACAATCTTCCTGAAAATATGAGACAGGCCTCCTCTCTGACAATGTTTAAAACCAGGTTAAAAACTGTTCTGTTTAGCTGTGCATACAACTGAGGGATTTTATATTTTTATCTTTTTTTTTGATGTTCTGTGATTATTTATGATTTTAATGCTTTCTTGTTTCGTTCAGCACTTTGAGTTGCCTTGTGTATGAATTGTGCTATACAAATAAACTTGCCTTGCCTTGACCCGGTTGATGATTAGAGTCATTGCTGAGATATTAATATTCATTAATTCATTCATTTCTATAGTTCAAGAGAGATGAGTGCTGCAGTGGGTC